GCCCTTCCCCTATAATGAGATTGGTGTCTATCTTGGTTACCATTCCTAGCTGTTCAACAGAAACAGGCACACACAGCTAAGTACTGAACCATACTCCTGGAATCCCATTGTGGAGAGGGAGGAGGGATGAGCAAGGAGCCAAGACGGTGTTGCAGAAACCCGCAGGAACAGGTGACCTGACCTACTGAGAGCATGGAGATCCTAGTCATAAAGCTGGAGAAACAGCATTGGACCGAACCAATCCCTCTGAATGTGGGTGCCAGCTACAAGACAGTCTATGGGACCTCTAAGAGTGGAGCCAGTCTTTAACCCTAGAGCACAAATGGACTTTGGGAGCCCATTCCCTATGGAGGGAAACTATTGCAGCCCGGATACAGCAAGGAGGGCCAAGCCCCTCCTTCAAATGATATGACAGACTTTGAAGGTCCCCTGTGGAGGGCCTCACTATCCCTTGGGAGAAGTTGGAGATAGGTTGGGGGGTGTTGGTGGGGAACATGGGAGGATGGGAGGGCAAGGGTATGGGAGGGGATGGGAAAAAAGTAGGTAACCCATCATCTGAAAGAAGTTGAGTATGTGCAAAATAAACCATGTACATGAATCAAAGTGTCATTATGAAGCCAGTATTATGTATAATTAATAAAAGGAAATAAATAATCTTTAAAAAGAGAGGGAATTGGGAATGCTGTCACTCCAGTGTCTAAGGAAATCTTAGGGTGCATCTGCCAATCCATCCCAGGGATAATCAGGGACAGGGGTTAGTGCTACAGAGTCACTGGATGCTATCTGAAGCTACCCTACATTCTCCTGGCCTCGTGACCACTCCATGGCAAACCATTCAGATAGGCAACATACAACAGTGTATTGAATCAAGTCAGGAGAGCTCTATCTGGAAACTGCCACTGGGATACAGTGGGTGAGGATGGTTTTGCTGTCCCGAGCATTTGGACACAGCTGGTTTGAATGGCTTTTCTTTTTCTTTTCTTTTTTTTTTTTTTTTTGAATCATCTATCCATAGTCATCCAGGATTTGAGAGTATGCACTCTGACATGATATTTTCCTCTGATGTTTAGGACAGGCATACTGCAGAGGAATGTCTCTCAGGCTACATTTGTCTCCACCTTTGTCAAACACTCTCTGTCCCACAGGATTTCACTCTTGCAGCAAAAGCAACACTCACACGTATTCTTTTTATTGTTGTTGTTGTTATTGTTTGTTTGTTTTTCTAGACAGGGTTTCTCTGTATAGCTTTGGAGCCTATCCTGGCACTCGCTCTGGAGACCAGGCTAGCCTCGAACTCACAGAGATCTGCCTGCCTCTGCCTCCCAAGTGCTGAGATTAAAGGCGTGCACCACCAACACCCGGCTTTCACACGTATTCTTTATCACAATGCTTCCTGCCATTCAGGAGTCTTGTAAGGTTTATGTTTCCAGAAACCAGGCTTTAATAGTCATCTATAATGACTCTCCAGGAAGTTCTGAATGTTATGTCTCCACCAAGTCCAGGGATCTGACTCATGTCCCATTCCTCTGAACAGTAATTACAGCATGAGTGCCGTCTCTAGTTTTACAGGCTAACCCTAAACCTAACCCTGATTATGAGGGTGGGGTCCAGACCCTCTGTCCTCCAAGCCTGGTAATATCTAACTAACCACACAACAGTTGCCTCTCAACTGAGTGCTTAGAAGCCCAATTAAACAGTACTTTAATAAAGAGCCTTGAAAACAAGAGGGATAAAGTGACTACAAGGAGTACCCAGGTGCAGACTCCCTCAACAGGAAAACTCTGGACAGGTGTTGCAGTCAGCTCCAGGATCCCTCCCAGTCATCAGCAGTAAAGACCAATGCTTTAGGGTCACAAGAGACGTAAAAAGACAACAATGGATCACTGATGGGCAGGACCACAACTTGATAAGGACTACTTATGAAAGATCCCCCAGACCCCTAAGGGCCTCAAGATCCTGAGGAGCCCCCGAGACTCAGAAACCAGACCAAGAGCTGCAAAAGCAAGAGGGTTTATTGAACGAATGCGCATTTGGGTGTCAGCAATATCGGGGAAGCTGCACACCCCAGCATGGGATGTAAGCTCCTTATATAGGAAAAAACCACAGATCAGCATACAGGCAAGGGGCATAAAGTGATTGATTACAAAGTATGATCTCATGTTAGAGTGGTCACCTAGGTGTGACCTGCTTTTCTACAAAGGAAAAAACCACAGAATGTACCCTGAAAAGTCTCGGATTGTCTGTTGGCCAGGTGTGACCCAAAAAGGATTGTTTGTCTGCCCTCGGGGTGGGGCCAATTTCCTTGTCCTGGGCCAAGGCCTGTGGGAAACTTTTTCTCTCAGCAAACTAAAATCTTTCACTTAGCTACCTATACATTTTGCCTTCCACTTAAGCCTAAGCCTCCCGTCCAGAGCCTGGGGATGGAGATGTTCATTTGACATCTTTTTTTGTTCCTCTTCTCAGTGTGACCACATTGAATAGAGATTTTCTGTCTTTCAGTTACTTGTCTATGTTATTTGCTGTGACGGTTTGAATGAGAATGTCCCCACAGTCTCAGTCATTTGAATACTTTACAGAAGTTGAGATGGTGCAGCCTTGCTGGAGGGAGTGTGTCACCGGGGATGGGCTTTGAGATATTATTTTGGGGGGTGTTCAAGACAGGGTTTCTCTGTGGCTTTGGAGGCTGTCCTGGGACTCACTCTGTAGACCAGGCTGGCCGGGCTTTGAGATTTTTAAGGCCTCGCCTTCTTTGCAATTTACTCTCTCAGGTTCATGCTTGCAATTCAAGATGTGGGCTCTCAGTATCCAGTTCCAGCCATCATGCCTGCTGCTTATAGCCACTTGTCCCTCTGAAACCACAAGTGCAAATAAACCCTTCTACAAGTTGCATTGGTCAGGATGTTTTATCACAACAACAGAAAAGTAACCAGTAGGCTTCTTGGAGACTGGCGGAAGACTCAGTGGACAAAGGCACTTGCTGCCAAGCCTGATAACCTGATTCCAATGCCAGGACGGATGTGGTGCAAAGTGAGAACCAACTCCTCTGAGTTGTCCTCTGACTTCCACTCTGAAGTGCAGGCATACACAATACACAATAGTAAACTTAAAAGGCAAGGGACTGGAAAGACAGATGGCTTAGTGGTTAGGAGCACTGGGTGCTCTTCCAGAGGACCCAGGTTCAATTCCCAACACCCACATGGCAGCTCACAACTGTATGTAATTTAAGTTCCAGGGGATATGACACCCTCGTATAGATATACATGTAGGCAAAAGCATTAATGCAGATAAAATAAAAATAAATAAACCATTAAAAAGTTTTTTAAAAATCAGGAAATGATGAACTGTGTATGTTTCCTGTAGGGCCGAATGTTTGTAATCATGTTTTAACATACGATCACTCCTCTTTCAACCCTAAATCCAAACAGACAAAATTTTATTTTCAAAATGAAAAAAAAAATTTTTGAGCCTATCCTGGCACTCATTCTGTAGACTAGGCTCGCCTCAAACTCACAGAGATCCACCTGCCTCTGCCTCCCGGGTGCTGGAATTAAAGGCGTGTGCCATCAACGCCCAACCTCAAAATGAAATTCTTGAAGATTAAAAAAAATAATAAGAAGAAAACCAGCTCATACATTTTTACTTACCTTTTAAATTTCACTTAAATTTAAGCTTTGCTTTATCAAACCTTCTCATAAAACACATTCTCTGAATAAGGAATTTAGAAAGACATGGGATTATATATTAACATATAGCCATTGTAAAGACATCTAAACATGACACTCTTTCTGTTTCTCTCTCGAAGGCCACACTCATGACTTGAGCATGTATACTAGTCTTTTATAACTTTGTTTGGATACATTTCAACTATTTTATTTTATTTTTTATTTGTGTGTGTGGATGCCTGATAGTCTGTGTGCATGCCTCGTGTGTGCAGGTGCCTGCAAACGCCAGAAGGGGCATCAGATCACTGAGAACTTCAATTAATAGTGGTTGAGAGCCATTTGATACTGGTTCCTGAAAATAAACCTAGGTCCTCTCCAAGGACAGCAAACCCTCTAACTACAGCCTCCTAAAATAAATAAACTCACTAACTTGATTTCATTTGGCTCACCTTGAATTTCTTTTCTACAGTGTTATAGAGGGTCCAGTTTTCCCTGAGTGGCGGTCCCTGATGGAGTGCTGGGCTACTGCCATCTTCATTTGTCTGTGTCTGATGGGTTTTGTTTCGATTTGTTTCTGAATTGCTCTTCCTGTTCAGCTTGGATTCCATGATCACATGCAAACATGAAGCAAATTGAGACTGCCTGCTGTGCAGAAGCAGTTTCCTCAACCTAATGGCTATCCTCCTCACCCAGGACCAGTGACAGCCTTGATCCCCTGACTCTGCGCTAAGAAAACCATGTCCACTTTTGCCCTTGTTTTCTCCCTACTTTCAAACCTTAAGATTGCTACCAATACCCAGTGATCCCCTGACTCTGCGCTAAGAAAACCATGTCCACTTTTGCCCTTGTTCTCTTTTACTTTCAAACCTTAAGATTGCTACCAATACCCTAAAGACAGCCCTCAGGCCTGTCTTCAAGCTGGAATTAAGGTTCTTTTTCCCAGTTTACCATCAGCTTCTTCACCGGTTCGTCATCTGGGATGAGCATACCAATCTAGTCAGCTGTGCCCAGTCATGCTTCTGCTTTGTGACTGGGGTAACAAGATATGCTGGAAGGGCTGCCTTGCCCCACTCCCCAGCTCCCACGTTTATAAACAATAATGTATTTCTAACTGTATCAGTTACTTTTGTGTTGCTGTGATAAAACACTGTGGACAAAAGCAACTTAAGGGCGGTATTAACTTTGGCATTTAGTTCCAGAGAGATGAGTCCATCATGATGGGAAAGCAACAAGTGCCAAGCATGGCAGTATGAGCTGAGAGCTCACATCCCTTTTTTTGTTTTTTGAGACAGGGTTTCTCTTTCTCTGTGTAACAGCCCTGGAACAAGCTCTGTAGACCAGGCCTGCCTCTGCCTTCCAAGTGCTAGGATTAAAGGTGTGGCCACCACCACCTGGAAGAGCTCACGTACTGCACCCACAAAGCAGAGTGACTGAACTAGAAGCAGGATGAGACTCTATACTCTCAAAGCCCACCCACTGTGACATACTTCCTCCAGCAAGGCTGCACTTTCTCAACCTCCCCTAATAACACCATCAACTGGGGTCCAAGCTTTGAAAATGCCTGAGCCTATGGGGCATTTCTCCTTCAAATCACCCCTGTAACCACAAATAAATTAATATTTATTTGTCTTATAAAAATCCTGAACTGCTCTCTTTTCCCACCAGAAGTAAAAAAAAGCACAGTATTATTCCTTCTCTTGAGATGTCCTGAACCAGCCTCCAGCTCACCAGCTGCCGGTCACTCCCTTTGGTGTTGGCTTCAGAAGCTGATTAGGCAAAAGGAGAAGTAATGCACATGCCAGCCATGCTATGCCTAGCACTGCTGGTGTGCTTGCTATCCTGCCCAGGACTGACTGTTTTGGAGAGGTTTATAGATAGCTTTATCTTTTTTTTTTTTAAGATTTTATTTATTTGTTGTGTATACAACATTATTTTTCCATGTATATCTGCACACCAGAAGAGGGCACCAAATCTCATAACGGATGGTTGTGAGCCACCATGTGGTTGCTGGGAATTGAACTTAGGACCTCTGGAAGAGCAGTCAGTGCTCTTAACCTCTGAGCCATCTCTCCAGCCCCAGCTTTATCTTTTATCTGCTGCAAACTGACAAAAAACAAAACAAAACAAAACATCTCTCCAGCCCCAGCTTTATCTTTTATCTGCTGCAAACTGACAAAAAAACAAAACAAAACAAAAACAAAAAAAAAAACACTGACCTTTCCTTTGGGTGTGTACACGTGTCTAAAGAATGACCTTTGGCTGATAGATGGTTCAGTGGACAGAGGAAATTGATGCCAAACCTAACAGCAGGAGTGTGGTACCTCACAGATTGTATGGTAGAAGTATTATGGAAATAGGGGTTTCCTCTTTTGGATTTCTAGTACCGTTTGTAAAAGATTTTATAAAAGGACTCAGAGGGACTCTTAAGAACAGTTGTATTGGAGTTTTAGAGAATTTGAGGTAGACAAATTGTGAGTCTTGGTGGCTGTCTGGAGGAGGAAGATGCCTAAGAGAAAGAGAGAAAGCAACCTTTGGTAAACAAAGAGGCTAGGAGTGAGCAAGCCCAAACAAAAGCATGAGCAGGCCCAAAGCTTGGGAAAAGCATGCTTATGTTCATAAAAAAAGAGACACAAAGAAGAGAAATGAAAAAAAGGTTCTTTTGCTTCTCTGAGTAGTTAGAAAAGCAAGACACTGGGGAGAGGACTCAACAGTTTAAGGTGCCTGCTGCTATTGGAGGTGACCTGAGTTCAGCTCACAATACCCATGTTGGGTGCATCACAGCCACCTGTTAAATCCCAGAGATTCAATGTCCTCTTCTGGCCTCAGTGGGCATCCACAAGTGTGTATATACACACATACTCCATAATGTCACATGTTGGAAACACTATAATTATAGTACCAAGGGTAGATTTTCTGGGGAAAACAAGAAATTCTCTCATTAAGAGGATAATTACTCCTCCCCTTTCCTTAGAATGACTTTGGGTGAATCAGTCCTTCTTTGGGGTGGTCTCTTGGCTAGGTGATGTTTTAATCTTGGAGGCAGATCAGAATGTAATGTCTCTACCCATGGAGATGGATTTCTTTTTTCTTTTTCTTTTTTTTTTTGACCAGGAGGAAATAACTTGTCTTCAATGGACCTCGGCAGAGCCGCAGAGCCCTGATACCTGTCTCCAGTGTCCTCAACACTACTGTCACAGTCCTCACTCAAGAATTGAGACCCAAGAACTACTTGGAGATGAGCAAGACAACACATTTCCACCATGAAAATTCAGACCTCCCAATACAAAGCATTCACCAGAGGGAGAGTGGTGGCTAGAGTTTCTGTCACACCCTCACATACAGCCTCAAAGCAAGGGTGTTGGCTTGTGGGGCTGGCTGTAAGATCAGAGCTCCCTTCCCTGACTTCTAGTGTGCAGATAAGACAAAACCAAAGACATTTCTGTTTCTGGGCAAGGATGAGAATAAAACTGTTCACTTCCAGGGACCCTGGCCTTAAATTTGTCCAACCATCAGAAGGACAAAACTAACTCTGGCAAGTTATCCTCTGACCTTCACGTGGCATTTTGAAAACACAGGGTTATAAATTTCATCCCTAGAGCTCTAGAGCCCACTTTTCTGGTTTACTAGACATTTGCTCTGCGGAACCTTGGAAAATGTGATTATACACAAACCACAAATTAGTTTCCCTTCCTTACCTCCCCTCATCCTTCTCCATGCCTCAGATTTCCAGGCTTCTTTACTCCATAAATAATCCTAACCCCTATTGATACCATCAAGGGGTACATGAAAAGGTGGAGAGCCTGAGAGATGACTCAGCAGTTAGAACAGCTCACTTCCTATTCTCCCAGTGGACCTGAGTTTGCTTCCTAATGTGATAGATAAAGAAACTCCATTTTAAGAATAGAAAAGGAATGCTGGGTGTTGGTGGCCCACACCTTTAATCCCAGCACTGTAAGGCAGAGGCAGGAGGATCTTGAGTTCGAGACCAGCCTGGTCTACAGAGCGAGTTCCAGGACAACCTCCAAAGCCATACAGAGAAACCCTGTCTTGAAAAATAAACAAAAAACAAAGAATAGAAAAGGAGAGCAAGAAAAGAGATACCTTAATAGAGGGAGTCATTGTGGGTTTATCAAGAAATCTGGCACTAGGGAAATCTCCAGGGACTCACAAGGATAATCCTAACTAAG